ACCCAGGGTCCTGCCTTGCAGAGTGGGAAAAATGCAGGATGCAACTAACGGGTGCGATAACATTCACAAAGCCCAAACCCAGGATTCTCAACCCTTCCTCCCTGGTGCTAGGCTGCTTCTTGCCTGCTTAACAACTGCTGCAAACACTGTTCTTTCAAGATATGGCAGTTAATGTCATCTGGGGCATCAACAAAAATCCTGGTGCTAGAGGAATGCTGCTCCTTTGGCTTGAGACATAGCACTGGCCAGAGGAGCAGGGTAACCACAATACATCACTGTTGCCTTTCCCTTTGTGGGGGGCAGGTCTCTTTCTGCAAGTGAGGTGAAAAATAGTTGTTAAAGGCTGAGGAAGTGGGAATATTCCTGTTTCCTCACATTCTATTCATTTATTTTCAAATTTATTTTTAATTACAATTTTATATTATTTATAAATATTCATTCAAGTTGCAGCTGCAGGGATTAAACAGGGGCCAGGTAACGTTGAAACCTGGATGTGTCCCAGGGTGAGTTCCTCTGGTACCTACACACGGTCTTAGATATATCCCTCATGTATTTACCTGCCACAGCATCAGAGGGACCAACAGAAATGGGTGCACTGTGGGCCTCGCCATCCTCCTGCTATGGGTGTGAGGGTGGAGATGCTCTTTGGAGGTGTCCAGGGTTGTGTCCATGGCTGATATCAGCAGTAATGTTGGCACTGATAATTTTTTAGGAGGATGTTTATTTGCCCTAGTTAGGACTTTAGGGCATCTGTTTGGGGTAGATTTTAGGAGAGGAAAAAAGGTCAAAATACTTCATTTTGATATTAAGGAAAGAAAACAACACTTTTTTCTGATTTGAGATGAGTTTTAGCTTATAAAATTGGTTGTGTGTGAAGGCTTGAAATCAAAGTAAATTATAACTGATTATATATAACAGATATCCTCCTCTTCCTCCCCCCACCTTTTTACAATTGAGAACAAAGAATTTCAGCTGTTTTTAAAATAAATTCTTTGAGCTTGACATTTCAAAGTTGGAAATTGGAACTTTTCACTTTTCCTCCCGCCTTGGGATGGGAAGAGGTTGGCAGTGTCCAGTCCAATGGCTTCAGCACCTCCTGCTGTCTTTGGAGCTCCTTGGCCTCCCAGGACCCTCCAGAAGTGGGGCTTGTTTGGAGCCATCTCCCCTGACCCACCAGTACATTGGGTTCTTACCTACAGAATCACCACTTGTGGCAGTGAAATCGTTGGGTTTCCTACTTGCTGTTGATGCAAACACACCTTGGTGCTCCAAGGCAAACGCGTGTCTTGGGTCTGTCGTGCAGAGCAAAATCAGTGCAATGGGTTCAATCAACATAAGCTGGGATGGGAAGGACGCTTCGTTTCGCCTTGTACCTCCCTGCTCCTTCTGCAGCCCCGCAAGGCAACCATGGGCCTGCATCTCCCTCTAGTGACTTCTCACAGACTGTCTCCTCACAAGCTGCGTGGCACCAGCCCCAAGGAGCCACCAGCCAGGGCTCAGGTCGCACCCAGCTCTTCTTGGTGCCATGTACCAGGTTGTCCCTGTCGCAGGGAGCTCAGTGGGAGCCCGGAGCAGGCTCTGAGGAGTGTGGTGGGCATGTGGGGCTGATGGCAATGCTGAAGGTTGTTCCAGGGGAGGCAAAGGGCCTTCACACCCACCAACGAACCAACCCAAGGCTGGGTCTGCGTGCACCAGCCTGAGACGCTTGCTCTGGTGCTGGATGTAAAACTGATTTGCATTTTAAATACAGGTATCTCTCTACAGTTTAACTCCTTTGTCTTCTACCAACACTGCAGTGTCCCTCCATCCCTGGGTGGTATCTGGGCACCACTGGTGTTTGTAGGGCTGAAGGAGCCCTCGGGACCTGCATTGTCCTGCAAGGACCATTTAAAGTGGCACCTAGAGACAGAGTGAGTCCCTTGCAAGCCATGGCCTTAAACTAATTTGCCACCAGGCTCCACTTGGGCTTTCCTCCCTCAGAGGCTGGTGCCAGCAGCACCCTTGCAGGCTGGGAAGATGTGTGGTGTGAGCTCCCCTCCAACCTGCCTGTACTGTTTCCTCTTGGAAGAGGCACAAACAGCAAAATCAAAGGCTGAAGGAGCAGCCTGATCTCTAGTGTAACTCTGTGTGTTTGCTTTAGTGATTGCTCTCAAGGCTGGGATTCTCTCATGGTTTTCTCTATGGGCTCTTCCAGCAGAGAAAACTGGGGGGGATCAATGCAGTGGCACTGTGAGGAGGAGGTTCATGGTTCACGTCAGCATGACTATGCTGACAACTGTCTCATGTCCACTGTGGAGGAGGAGTTTTATTCTGTCCGTGGCTGAACTGACCTGCCTGGGGTGGAGGAGCTGCCCTGGAGCTCACGAGCCATGGGCCACCTCATCCCCCACAGCAGCCTTCC